CAGCTCCAACCAAAACCGCTTCTGCGGTTACTTCCTCGCTTCAGGGGGCCGCTTCTGCGGTCCCATTTCCGCAGAAGCGGAAATACCAGAAACCAGCAACACCAGCCTTCCCAAAAATCCATTTTTCGATCCGTTAACCACCCGGAATCCACCAGAGGTCCCCGGGACCCCAACCAATCATACCAACCAATCCCATAACACATTACGGACTTGCTCGAAGCCTCAAATCACATCAAACAACGCTAAAACCATGAATTACACCCCGATTCGAGCTTTATGAACTTTGAACTTTTCAACTTCTATTTCCGATGCTTAAGCCTATCAAATCACGTCCGATTGACCTCAAATTTTGCACACAAGTCGTATTTGACATTACGGACCTACTCCAACTTCCGGAATTGGATTCCGACCCCGATATCAAAAGTCCACTTCCGGTCAAACTTCCCAAAGACCTTCAAATTTCTATCTTTAGCCAAATGGCTTTAAAATGACCTACGGACCTCCGAATTCACTTCCGATCGCGCCCCCAACTCCAGAATCACCATACGGAGCTATTCACAGTCTCGGAATCCCAAACGGACATCGATAACACTGAAATGCACTTCAAGCCAAACTTATGAAATTCCTTCTAAAATGCTAACTTCCACAATAGGCGCCAAAACGCTCCCGGGTTATCCAAAACCCGAACCGGGCATACGCCCAACCCCGAAATCTTCATACGAACCTGGTGGAACCTTCAGATCCTGATTCCGAGGTCGTTTACTCAAAAACCCATTCCTAGTTCATTCTTTCAACTTCAAGCTTCTCAAATGAGAATTCTCTTTCTAATCAACTCTGAACTTCCCGGAACTTAATTCCGACCACGCGTACAAGTCATAATACCTGAAATGAAGCTGTTCATGGCCTCCGACTGCTGAACGAAGCGCTAGGACTCAAAACGACCGGTCGGGTCGTTACACACGGCCTCTACCACCACCTCTAACACCACTTCTACCACCACCTCTGCCAACACCTCTGCCAACACCTCTACCACCACCTCTACCCCTCCTATTACCTCTAACTCCACTTCCACCAGCCGTTTGTGAACTTCTAAAGTATGAATCAATTCGCCCTCTATATCTGTTCAACCTTGGACGTCCACGAGAAGCTACGTATCTAGGATCTCTTATATTTCTTCCTTCACCCTCACCCTCACCCTCACCCCCACCCTCACCCCCACCCTCACCCACACCCTCACCCACACCATCATGTGTATCTTCAAATTCCCAATCTGGAATTATCATTTGATCATCATCCCAATTCAAAAGGTCATGCTCCAATCTGTTCAAATGATACTTAATATATCGCCTCATCACTTCAGTGTCCAATGCTATATCACAAACCCGTTCAAAATGCTTTAATAGTTCCCTGTACTTCATGTATTCAGAAGTCATACGTGGGTAACCTCCAAGAAAGAAACGTTTCAAGTGCGGACGAACAATATCTTTTCTCCACCTTCTCAATATATACCTCTCATTAACGTTATTAATCCTCTTATGAGACAACACCTTAAGTATATGGCAGCATAGAATACCTCTTGTTTCAAACCACTTGCAGCTGCAACTTAGATATTCGCCAATAGGGGTATATTCAACCGCGAATACAAATGGATCTCTAGTGTTAATACTCCTGAACGAATAATCTGAGATAATGTAATTCTCCACCCCTGCTGTTGCTTGATGGTCTTCAGGGGAGCTGATTTCACAGTGGTACAGTTTCCTTAACTATACTTGAAAAAATTCAAACACTTCACGAGTATAACATGTTTGAAATTTTTCCTCCCATGCAAATTCAGATAAACATTTTGGTTCAAAGCACCTTGACCTATATTTAGCTTCCAATTCTTTCTCGAACTTAGCTCTTATGGCTAACTCATATTGCTGAACAAATAGCTTCAAAGTGCTTTGCCGGTTGATGAATCCGTCAAAGAAAGCATGCATTCCTTCACTTCTTTGTGTGGACAACATCCCAGCCCAAAAGTGGTCATTTAGGTATACCGGAACCCATTTCTCCTTCTCCAAATAAAGCTTATAAAACCAATCCCTTTCCTCTAAGTTATATTTTTCAATAAAATCAGTCCATTGTCTCTCAAACTCAGCAACGTTAATGCTATCAAGGACTAAAGCCTTAAATTCTGCCTTTGCAATCTTACCATCAAGAACTCCGCTTAACTTCGTAGGCAACTTTGCGAATATGTGCCATATACAATATCTATGTATTGTATTTGGTCATCATAGCACTGACGGCAGCCTTTATACTATCACATTGGTCAGTCATGATAGCTAATGGATGAACATTGTTTAGAGCCCCAAGCCATGTAGATAGCACCATTTTGTAACTTGTTATATCCTCACTAGACATAAGAGCACATCCCAAAAGTATGGACTGCCTATGCTGATTGACACCAACAAATGAAGCAAATGGCATATTGTATCGNAATTTCCTACTTTTGCAGTAGACCATATTGAGATCATTAATGAATTTGTCATTTTTAATTCTTCAAACAAAGTTCAAAAAATGTAGATAAAAGTATATGGAGTAACAAAATATCCATAATTTTATATTTAACATTAGGTCACACAAATGATAACAGTTTTTAAAAGATATAGTTAAAGGATATTCTTTTCAAATTCATGCAAAATCGATAGATCAAATTCTTATGTAAAATTGAACGATCTTTTAACCTTAATAACAAGCACTCATTCTTGTATTCTTTAATTCAATATTTATGTACAAAAAAATAAGTACATATTACATTCTTTAATTCAATATCTAATTCTAGAAATATTTAATAGTCCATACCCAACCACTATATATAATAGTCCATACCCAACCACACACAACTTTTAAACCCTAACTCTTACCAAAACCCTTGAACCAAACAATCCCCATCCGACGAAGATATGAATCCATCTTTTGAAGTTCTGATGAAGGATTCATACATAACGCAAGATTATATGGTAAATGAGCTCTTTTTTCATTTAAAATTCTATTTTTTTTAATGCTTGTGATTTTCGACTTGGTTTTTGAAGAGGGGCACATCTGGGTTTTGAAGAGGGGCACATCTGGTTTCAACCAAAAAAAATTGAGTTTCAACCAAATCCAGTTTGAAACAAACAGATCTGGTTGTAATAAAATATCAAACAAACTATTTTTTTTATTAATCTCTCAACCAACCAAGTATACATAAAAAAATTGAGTTTCAACCAAATCCAGTTTGAAACAAACAGATCTGGTTGTAAGCGGAGATGGTTCTTTTTTTCTCTCAAATCCAGTTTGAAACAAACAAATCTCTCAATTTTTTTCTTTTTGTTTGCAGCATATTCCAAAATATTTTTACGAACACCTTCCTGAATCACATAGCACAGCGGTTCTTCACTATGATGGCGAACCTTGGTTTATGGAAATTAACATGGGTAAGCGGAGATGGTTCAAAGACGGTTGGAAATATTTTGTGATGAATAATAACATCAAGCGGGGTTGGTTAATTAACTTTGTGTTGGTCGAAATTCAACCTAATTCTACCTACACACTACTAAAACGGTTGGGAATAATAAATGCTTCATAGTAACTAAATGTGAGTATTTTAGTTCTTAGTTTGAACTGATTATAATGTTATGAAGTCTTTCACTTCTAATCACATTTTCTTAGTGTAGTCCGATAAAATGAAGTAAGAATAAAATGAAGAAATATTTAACAATGATAATTATTATCTCACACGTTTAAATTATTACAAAACAACGTCAAAAAATTCAAAAAAATCTATATCAAATCAAATTAAATAAGATTCAAACTTAAATCATCTCAAACTAAACGGTCAAGTCTTCTATTTCCCAGTCTGCTTCATCGTTAAGATCAGGCAAGCTACTGTGTGCTTGTACTGTTGCATCATCTTGCTGTATAGAGTAAATAACACTAATAAGTAACGTATTTTTCGGAAAAAAATATAATAATAATTTGTTATACTTTACCTCAATTCCTTCCGCTAGCCCAGTATTTCCACCACCTCTACCACCACCTCTACCACGGCCTCTACCACGGCCTCTACCACCACCTCTACCACCACTTCTACCACCACCTCTGTCAACACCTCTGCCCCACCTCTACCACCACCTCTACCACCACCTCTACCCCTCCTATTACCTCTAACTCCACTTCCACCAGCCGTTTGTGAACTTCTAAAGTATGAATCAATTCTCCCTCTATATCTATTCAACCTTGGACGTCCACGAGAAGCTACGTATCTAGGATCTCTTATATTTCTTCCTTCACCATCACCCTCACCCTCACCCTCACGCTCACCCTCACTTTCACCCCCACCCTCACCCACACCCTCACCCACACCATTATGTGTATCTTCAAATTCCCAATATGGAATTATCATTTGATCATCATCCCAATTCAAAAGGTCATGCTCCAATCTGTTCAAATGATACCGCCTCATCACTTCAGTGTCCAATGCTATATCACAAACCCGTTCAAAATGCTTTAATCGTTTCCTGTACATCATGTATTCAGAAGTCATACGTGGGTAACCTCCAAGAAAGAAACGTTTCAAGTGCGGACGAACAATATCTTTTCTCCACCTTCTCAATATATACCTCTCATTAACGTTATTAATCCTCTTATGAGACAACACCTTAAGTATATGGCGGCATAGAATACCTCTTGTTTCAAACCACTTGCAGCTGCAACTTAGATATTCGCCAATAGGTGTATATTCAACCGCGAATACAAATGGATCTCTAGTGTTAAAACTCCTGAACGAATAATCTGAGATAATGTAATTCTCCACCCATGCTGTTGCTTGATGGTCTTCAGGGGAGCTGATTTCACAGTGGTACAGTTTCCTTAACTGTACTTGAAAAAATTCAAACACTTCACGAGTATAACATGTTTGAAATTTTTCCTCCATGCAAATTCAGATAAACATTTTGGTTCAAAGCACCTTGACCTATATTCAGCTTCCAATTCTTTCTCGAACTTAGCTCTTATGGCTAACTCATATTGCTGAACAAATAGCTTCAAAGTGCTTTGCCGGTTGATGAATCCGTCAAAGAAAGCATGCATTCCTTCACTTCTTTGTGTGGACAACATCCCAGCCCAAAAGTGGTCATTTAGGTATACGGGAACCCATTTCTCCTTCTCCAAATAACGCTTATAAAACCAATCCCTTTCCTCTAAGTTATATTTTTCAATAAAATCAGTCCATCGTCTCTCAAACTCAGCAACGTTAATGCTATCAAGGACTAAAGCCTTAAATTCTGCCTTTGCAATCTTACCATCAAGAACTCCACTTAACTTCGTAGGCAACTTTGCGAATATGTGCCATATACAATATCTATGTATTGTATTTGGCATCATAGCACTGATGGCAGCCTTTATACTATCACATTGGTCAGTCATGATAGCTAATGGATGAACATTGTTTAGAGCCCCAAGCCATGTAGATAGCACCATTTTGTAACTTATTATATCCTCACTAGACATAAGAGCACATCCCAAAAGTATGGATTGCCTATGCTGATTGACACCAACAAATGAAGCAAATGGCATATTGTATCGATTCACAAGGTATGTGGTATCAAGGCATATTACATCATGGAACTCCTCATATGCAACCTTAGAGTGTGAACGAACCCATACGAGATTACGAAGTCGACCAAAACTATCCACATCTACGGAGTAGTAAAATTCCCTATCTTTTTGCTGCATGTCACTGAAGAACTTGAGTAATGATTGTGCATCCCCTTCTTGCAACTGAAGCTTTCTACTCTTCAAGATATAATTTCTACAGTCCTTTGGTGTACAACCCAGATTTTCGGGGCCACCAGCAAGTACTTCAGCGACTCTTATATTTTTTGAGGGTCTTAAGCCAGCAATATCTTTGGCTGCAAGAGTTCTCTTAAGAGACTTGCTAAGCGATCTGTGTCCAGCCATCAATCGCGATAGTGCTGGTTCCAATTGATGATTATGTTTTTTTACCACCTTTGAAACACGCCATGAACCATTCTCCTCCAAAATTCCATTTATTCTAGCATGGCAGTTCTTCCTCTTGGTAACATGCTTATTCCTTGGTTTCCTAGACCTATCACAACCATATTGCACATACCTAACAGTATCACCACCTTTTTTGTTGGACGTTCTTTTGACAATGCAAAAACCCGATAATCTTGCATGTTCTTTGTAAAAATCAAACAGAACATCCTTACTACTGAACCGCATCCCAGTAATTGGACCAATTATAAGATCTTCTTCATTGAACTCATTAGGCATTTCCCTGTCCTCTCCAACTTCTCCCTCTTCCTCTAAATAATGGCCGTCGCAATCATCATCATCATCATCAGCAGCAGCAGCATCGTCAACAGGATTTTCTCCATCATTGAAGTTGTCGTCTGAATCAATGTCGATCGATTCATCTTCATTCATCAAACTGTCGTCCGAATTCAACCCTAATGATATGTGTAATGCATTCCTTAGTTGATCCGACCTAGTTTCTAGACTGTTATTCGGGGTTTAATGGGTCCAAACTAGTTTCTCGGTTAGTATTCATGTTTAGGTTAAGGGAAGTGTGGTGAATTATGTGTTTAATGAAAGCTATTTTAACATAAGTATATGGTATGATATATACATAATAGACCTTTGATCTTCCCATCCGTATAAATTGCGTTTTTTTAAAATATAATTACGTATTTTTGTTAAATACAAATACGTATTTTTTTTAATTAAATGCAATTGAGCGTATATACGAAGGCTGCCATCCGTATATACGAAGGCTTTTTATCTTCCCATGCTGAGAGAATGATGATTTATGGGATCAATGTTTTGGAATAATCAAAAGTTATTAACTAATTTTGGAGGGAAAAAGGGCCATTAAGCCAAACGGAAAAACAAGGGCATTACTGGCATTTCACGGGTGTGGTCATTTTTGGGCCACGCTGAATTTGGCCGAATAGCAGCACTCAAAAAAAAATACTTGACTTCAGATAATAAAGTCATTGAATTACTCACCGTAACATAGCTATCCAATTTTTTGGAATCATGATGACAATTAAGTCACAAATTTAGTTGAGAGAGACGAAATCTACTCCTAAAACTAAGAGGAATTGATTGTTAGTTTTTTTTTTTCTTTTACAAATTTGTGATATTATATAGTTTAAATAAGGAAGAATATAATATGTTAAATTTAGTTGACTGAAGTCCTAAATATTAGAAAAATAATTAAATATCTATTCCTGAATATTAGGAAAATGATTAAATGACTATTTTGTCTAGTGTTAAACCAAATTTTAAAAGGTAAAAAAGACGAACGATATTTCTCTAAGGCATTCGTGCTTTTAATATAGTATAGATATAGATATAGATATAGATTACTTAAAGATCTCACGTTACATGGACCATAAAACTAAAGAATATTTGTAACAGATTATATAACCAACGAGAATATTAAAGTCAAAAAATAAAGTGAACGTGTATATTACGTAATTATGATTAAATGATAAAAATTTATAAACAAAAAATGTAACGTGCATTAATCCATTTGTATAGTGTTGAGTATTAGATGAAGTCATGAAGGTAAAATATTTCATTAATTTGGGTTCCGTATGTCAACTGAAAAATGGAAGTTACCAAAAAAATTTGGATCGCCGCTGACTATGATATTTGGGCCGATCAAGCAATTTAGTGAGGAAATAATACAAAATAGTAAGTTACAATTTTATAAATAATTTTACAAAAAATTGTATTTTGGTATTACAGATAACTTAAAATAGCTCATCTTACATATTGGACCATGTAACTAAAAATTATTTGCAATGAATTATACAACCATCAAAAATATTAAACTGAAAATATATGCATTACTTTATTATGATTAAGTGATAGAAAGTTATAAACAAAAGATGTAATATGCATTCATTCATTTTTTTTTTTACATATGGGAGATTTACTTTTACACGTAAGAGATCTGTCTTTTACATATAAGAGATCTAAAAAGTGATTTTCTTAAATTCAAAATTGTAAAGGGCCATGATATACAAATAGCACTTTGTATAGTGTTGAGTATTAGATGAAGGTAAAATGTTTCGTCAATTTGGGTTCTGTGTGAGAAATTATTTTTTATGTGTACTCTCCCTCTTATGCGTATCCCCCCTTGTTAGAAAAAGGAATGGTTTTTGAGTTGCAAAACTCATTTTTGGAGAAAAGAGTGAGGCAACCGAAAAATGAAAGTTACCAAATAAAACATCATTTTGCCATTGCCGGGATCGAACCCGGATAGTCCACGTGACGGGCGGAAATAGTTACCACTATACTACAATGTTGACTATTGAGCAATGTATTGAGAAATGTACATACACATATACATGCATATACTGCAGCACACTGAGCACATTGTATCTCTAATTATTTCATGAGATAGTTAAAGTGGTTAGTGGTGGTTAGGAGTAGTTAGTAGTTAGTGGGCCAGCTCATTGCCAGCTGGATTTCTCTCTTCCTCTTTTCTTTCATTTGCTTATAAATATGCATTGTATAGACACATAAAGTTAGTGAATTCAATTACAGAAATGAAGAAATTCATCTTTGTTTCCAGAATGTTCTGTCTCAGCTCCATATCTATCACATGAGCAGGAGTTGATTTCAATGGTTTTCTCCCAGTTTTGATATGGTATCAGAGCCTAGGTTCAAGTTATCGGTTCAATTCATCATCAATCTCACTCAGTTCGACTCTCCTCCGATCTGTTTCTCTTCAATTTTGTCTCCTATTTATTCGATTAAGGGTTCTTCAGATCACATTTTGATTTTGACAATTTTCCTGAAATTGAGCTTCTCTGACAGCTGAATTCCCAATTGGACTTTACATTTTGTATCATCGTCTGCTTGAATCATGGCCAGAGAAGAAGAAGTGGCAGATTCAACTAATACTCCGCTGAGTTCAACCAGTCCACTCTATATGCATCCATCGGAGAATGCGGGAACTACTCTAGTGCCAGTTCCTTTTGATGGTTCTGGGTACAGATCATGGAGAAGAGGTGTGTTAAGAGCTTTGTCTGTGAAGAATAAGGTAGAATTCATTAATGGAAAATGTAAAAAGCTAGATGCAAGTAATGCACTCTTCGATCAGTGGGAACGGTGCAATGACATGGTGACTTCATGGATACTGAACTCACTCTCTAAGGATTTAGCGGATAGCCTACAATACATCAACGATGCAAAGGAACTGTGAAAAGAGCTAGAAGACAGGTACGATCAGACGAATGGAGCAAAGCTATATCAATTACAAAAGGAGATCAGCGATTTAAGCCAAGGGACCTTCAATATCACTAGATATTACACAAAAATGAAAAAGTTGTAGGAAGAGCTAAACATGCTGAACATTCATGCTGAGTGCAGCTGTCAGTGTGTATGTGGAGCTAAGGCTAATATGCAAAAGGCTGAACAAGATAGGAGGCCGGTTCAATTTCTCATGGGACTAAATGAAGTATATACAGTAGTGAGGGGAAGTATATTGATGATGAACCCCCTACCTAACATAGCACAAGCCTTCTCTATCCTTATTCAGGAGGAAAAACAAAGAGAAGTCAAGTCCCAGAATCAAGTCATGATCGACTCTACTGCTCTTAATGCAAACACCTCAGGTGTGAACACTTTTAGGACAAATTACCGTCCGAACTCTGCTGGAACTGGTATCTTCAGAGGAAACTGTAATCCTAATAGACCTAGGCCCTTTTGTGAGCATTGCAAGAGACCGGGACACACCAAAGACAATGGTTACAAACTTCATAGGTATCCACAAGGCATGAATAGGTTCAAACAATCCACAGACTTTCAACAAGTTCAACAACGGAAAATCAAATGCTGCAGATGCATTTGGAGGACCAGGTGATAGAGTGAATGCTGGAGAAAGAGAAGAAGGAATGTTGCAAGAGCGAGGACAAAATCTGCACAATTTAACTGAGGAGCAGTATGGACAATTGCTGAGTTTACAGGAGAACTTCTAACCAGGAAATGCAGGGGAAAATTCTGGTAATGCCAACATGGCTGGTGGTGCTGTTAACTTTGCAGGTACTGTGACTTGTTGCAATTTTGTTGAACATAGTGATCACTCATATGATTGTTTCGAACCAAATACTGACTCATGGATCCTAGACTCCGGTGCCACAAACCACATGACCTTTAAAAGGTCTTTATTAATTAACACCAAAACCTTAGTTTATCCTTTCGTAGTGTCTTTGCCAAATGGATATAAGTTGAAGGTGACACTCATTGGGTATGTAGTTCTTAGTCCCAAATTCACTCTAAGAAAAGTCCTTTTTGTGCCAAGTTTCAAATACAATCTAATCTCCGTTCATTCTTCGACAGTTCAGCTTGACTGTATAGTTGCATTTACCAAACTTGCTTGCTTCATTCTGCAGGCCCTTCAGTGAAGAAGCCTCTGGAGATTGGTAAAGCAATCGATGGTTTGTACTTTCAGTTCTCAAAGTCTATATCTAGCACCACTTGTGATTCTGTGTCTTGCCCTTCCACTTCACATCACACACATGTAAATAGAGCACCTTCTCATTCCCAAACTATTGTACATAGTTCAGAATTGAATAAAGGAACTGGTCATTCTCTGCTAAATATTTTTGTTAATGGTGTTGATACTGTTGATTCCTTGTGGCACAATCGATTAAGACATGTAACTTTTGTAAATATGAGAGGTATCTCAACCATACCAGTTAAATTTGCTCCAAAACAACCCTTCGTGTGTCCCATATGCCCCATGGCTAGGCAAACAAGATTTCCCTTTCCATTGAGAAGCTCAACCTCAACTAAAGTTTTTGAGCTGTTACACATTGATTTGTGGGGCCCTTATCATGTAACTACTCATGATGGTCACAGATACTTCATAACTCTTGTATATGACTATAGAAAATCTACCTAGACACATCTTCTGGGCAGCAAGAATAATGCTCTATATGTGATCAAGGCCTTTTCCACCATGGTTGAAAACCAGTTTGGAACCTTAATCAAGTCCATAAGGACTGATAATGGACTGGAATTCACCAGTTTTGAGGCTGCTTCATTTTTCCAGTCAAAAGGAATTATCCACCAAAAGACATTCCCCTACACACCCCAACAAAATGGGGTGGTAGAAAGAAAACATAAATACCTACTTGAAGCAGCTAGGGCATTGCTTTTCCAATCCAAATTGCCCCTGAATATTGGGGAGAGTGTATACTCACCTCCGCGTACCTAATAAATAGATTGCCTTCATCTTCTATAAACAACAAATGCCCCTATGAACTGCTATACCAGAAGAAGCCTAACTATTCTCAAAAGTTTTGGTTGCTTGTGTTTCACTACTACACTTAAAAACCACAAAGATAAATTTGAACCAAGAGCCACTCCTCATGTTTTTGTGGGTTATCCATCTAGTTCAAAAGGTTACAAAGTCTTAAGCTTGGTCACAAGGAAGATACATGTGTCAAGAGATGTAGTTTTCCATGAGAATGTGTTCCCTTTCCGCTTCTCTTTCAATTTCAACAATATGTCTTGCCCTGGGAAGTTTCCCCCTGCACAAAAGGGACTCCCTAATACATCAGTTTTTTCCTTCTGAATCTGATGTTCCTCATGAGTCACCACACCACTCTAGTGCAGTGTCACCTGAATCTCACCATGATGAAATGTCACTTGGACATTCACGTAGCCATGACCAATCATCACCCATATCCATGCACCAAAGTGACAACCTAGCAACTGAATCAGCTCCACACAGTCAGGACCAACTTCATGTTCCTGATATCACTAATTCTTCTAAGCACCAGAGTCATAACCGGTGTAAACCTGCTAGACCACACAAAACACCTACCTACCTAAAGGACTATGTGTATTCAATCCCAAATCTCCAACCATGTCCATCTATCCAAAGTCAAGAAACACAATCTAAATCTTTCACCGCCCTTTTGCCAAACAAACAACATTTTTGTTTTCATGCATTGATTCCTGAAAGTCAGCATATGGTAAGAAGCATTTCACATGACTGTGAGCCTTGTTCATATGAAGAAGCAGTCATTAATCCTGCCTGGCAAGCAGCAATGACTCAAGAATTCCAGGCACTATACACAAATCATACCCTTGGTACCTCTTCCAGATGGAAAGAAGGCTATAAGATGTAAGTGGATGTGTAAAATCAAGCACAATGCAGATGGAAACATTAAGAGATTCAAAGCCAGGCTGGTTGTCAAAGGGTACACTCAACAAGCTGGAATAGACTACACAGATACCTTCTCACCAGTGGTAAAGATGACCACTGTAAGGGCTCTAGTAGGGACAGCAATTAAGAAGGGTTGGAAAATCTTCCAACTGGATGTGAATAATGCTTTTCTTCATGGAGACTTACATGAAGAAGTCTACATGGAAGTGCCACCTAGTTTAGTTATAGAGAGACTAGGTTTAGTGTGCAAACTGAACAAATCTTTATATGGCTTGAAGCAGGCAAGTAGACAATGGTATGAAAAACTTGCAGAAGCATTGTGTTCTAAGGGATATACTCACTCCTTGCTGGACTATTCCTTATTTTATAAGAAGAAGGACAACATAATGGTGTTTGTGGCGTATATGTAGATGATGTTATACTCACAGGAAATGACCTTGATGAGATCAACTCTCTGAAGAAGTTCTTGGACCGGACCTTCAAGATCAAAGACTTGGGGATTTTGCATTACTTCTTGGGGCTAGAAGTGTTATATAAAGAGAATGGGGTGCTGATTTCTCAGAGAAAGTTCACTATGGACTTACTAAGGGAGTATGACTGCTTGCAACAACCTCCATTATCCTCTCCTCTTGATCCTTCACTCAAGTTGAAAGTTGACCAAGGTGTTACATTGAAGGATCCCACTCAATACAGAAAACTAGTAGGGAAGCTGAACTTTCTTACCAACACCAGGCTTGATATAGCCTTCAGTGTACAACACCTTAGCCAATACATGTAGAATCCCAGGGATACTCACTTAAAGGCTGCATATCACGTGTTAAGGTACTTAAAAGGTGATCCAAACCTGGGGATATTCCTATCTGACAACACAGACTATATGATCAGTGCCTTTTGTGATTCAGACCGGGCTGCTTGCCCAGAGTCCAGGATATCTGTTAGTGAATACTTAATACTACTTGGTGGCTATCCAGTTAGCTGGAAGTCAAAGAAACAGTCCACCATAGCTTTGTCCTCAGCTGAAACAGAGTACAGGTCAACTAGAGCAGTGGTTGGTAGACTTGTGTGGTTAGTCAGGCTTTTTGAAGAATTAGCAGTTCAATTGTCTCTCCCAATTCCAGTCTTCTGTGATAGTCAGGTAGCCCTACACATAACTAAGAATTCAGTTTTCCACGAACTCACCAAGCATATAGAAGTTGTCTGTCATTTTGTGCGAGACAAGCTTCAGGAAGGACTGATCTCATTACATTGTATCCCTACATCTGATCAACTAGCTGATATCTTCACCAAGACCCTCACAGGGATCAAGCATTCCACTTTACTTGACAAGTTGGGTGTGAGTTCCTCACCTCCAACTTGAGGGGGGGGGGGGGTATTGAGCAATGTACTGAGAAATGTACATACACATAGACTGTATCTCTAATTGTATCTCTAATTATTTCATGAGATAGTTAAAGTGGTTAGTGGTGGTTAGGAGTAGTTAGTGGTTAGTGGGCCAGCTCATTGCTAGTTGGATTTCTCTCTTCCTCTCTTCTTTCATTTGCTTATAAATAGGCATTGTATAGACACATAAAGTTAGTGAATTCAATTACAGAAATGACAAAATTCATCTTTGTTTCCAGAATGTTCTCTCTCAGCCAGGGGCGGACCCACATGGGGTCAAGAGGGTTCATATGAACCCGCTTCGTCGGAAAATAATACTGTGTATATAGGTATATTTTACCCTTCTTCGAACAAACATTAGTATAAAACACATACTGACTCTGCTTAAAACAATTGTAGAGTCTAGCCCATTGGCAAAGTGGGATCAAAATTAGCAAACTCACCTGAGTTCGAATTTGGTCAGCAGCATGTGCGCTTTTTTTTGCTGTATAACAGATGTTTCTTTTCACTTTTTGGACTAGAAAAGCTTACTATAGTGAAAGAAAAATGCTACCATTTTTTTGTTTTTTGCATAATCTAAAATCTGAAAATTATATTAAAAAAAGAAGTAATCTTTCAATAATATATTTTAATTTTCTAATAAAAAATCTAAACTCACCTGAGTTCGAATCTGGTCAGCAGCATGTGCGCTTTTTTGGACTAGAAAAGCTTACTATAGTGAAAGAAAAATGCACCATTTTTTTTGTTTTTTGCATAATCTAAAATCTGAAAATTATATTAAAAAAAAAGTAATCTTTCAATAATATATTTTAATTTTCTAATAAAAAATTATTTTATTGGGACTTTTTTGTATATTTAATTCTTCGCATGTTGAACCCGCTTGAAAATCCTAGGTCCGCCACTGCTCTCAGCTCTATATCTCTCGCACGAGCAGGAGTCGATTTCAATGGTTTTCTCCCAGTTTTGATACAAAGCCAATTAAATAATTATTTTTACTACTCTGTTCGTTGACAAAGTGAAATTGGTTCGTACTTTGAGAACCGTATATCTTTTTCTTTCCCTTTCAATGTTCTGATAAATTAATTGTACATGTTGATTTGAACTTTAGAGCAACCTAGAGCCCGTTTGGATGAGCTTGTTTTAAGTGACTTTTAAGTCAAAATAGCTTTTAAGCCATAAGTTAGAAATTTTAACTTTTGGCTTTTGGCTTGTTTTTGTCATTTTAGCTTAAAAACAAGTGCATAAAAGCACTTTTTTACTTTATCCAAACACTACAAAATAGCTTAAAAGCACTTAAAACAAGTCAATCCAAACGGGCTCCTAATCTGATTCAATAAATTTTAAATATTCATTTATTTACCCCTAAACTAAACTCATTTGGGGTTCACACTTTATGAATCAAATACGGCATAAAGAATATCTTTATTGAGACCTTCAAAAAAACCGGAACGATACAGGAAATGAGAAATGCGCCACTAGAATGCGTGTCTTCTCCTGGATGGCTTGGTCAAGTTAGTTAATTAGACGTTTTAAGACCTAACATTAAGTTAGCGTTTGGACATAAATTTGGTTGAAATTAAAAAAAGAGTTTGTTAAAAATTAATTTTTGAAAATTGAAGTTGTGTTTGAACATGAATTTTATTTGAAGAAAAGTTGAGGTTTTAGAGTGGACGGGAACTTAAAAAAAAATTAATTTTTTTTTTCAAAACGGATCATATTTTAAGAACAAATAATATATATTTTTTTTTTGAAAAAAAGTAGCCAGAATCTAGGGGCCAACGTGAACTAAATCGTTGAATGGAAAGTTTTTCCTTAATGCAATTTTAGGGAACCAAAATAAGATGGACATGTCAAGTTTCTCGAGCCACAACAATTTTACTTGCAGAAACCCTCAATAATACTTAATAAAACTAACCAAAATTATCTTCATTAGAGATTCGGTATGACTTAAACTCCACTATCAATAATGATTTCAATGTGGAAAAAGATACAAAAACACATCTAGTATAATCTCACAAGTGGGGTCTGGGAAGGATAGTCTATCTTATGAAAGTAAAGAAGTTATTTGCGATAGACCATCGGCTCAAAAGCATAATAAAAACAATTATAAAAAGAAATACGGCAGTGGAAAAGCCAGGGGAAAAAAGAGTAGTAACAACAACAAGAAATTATACTAAAATATTACAGAATAAATACTGAAATTTACGGATGTCTCTAAGAATGCTAGTTGCATTGTAATATCAACTAAGAATTGTTGTTGAATCAGAAAAGGGTTGTGAAAAACATAATGGTCATGCCGACAAGGAAGTGAATCTTGGAAAATACTATGGTTGAAGCTGCATTATCTTTGTTGTCAGATGCAGGACTAGTTGCAAACCCGCCTGAGGAAAAAACACAATAAGATGGTCATGGTATTGTCTTCATAAAAAACTGCAAATTAAAGATATTATTCAAGCCCAAAACTATAGAAAAGAAAACTAATATGAAACTCTGTTCTTTCTTTACGAGCATGATTATTTGTAGTTCCTAGTTATGCTCACTAAGTTACAAAACTTAAAACATGTTTTGTAATTCATTAATAGTACGTAGTTATTCTTTTCTTTTTTGTTTTTTTAAAAATGTTTTTTCTTACTGAAAAATTGTTCTATGGACCAAATTTTTGGTTCGTCTATTTTTCTCCCAAGTACCATTTTGTCACAGGCGCGTTTCCAGTCCGTCGAAAACCAGCCTACGCGGCAGCCAAGTCCCGCACTTGACTCCAGACTTCTCACAACATTCAGCCAAAATTACAGCAACTTTGGACTTAGATTATTTTTAGGTAGCTTTCAACGTAGTAGTTTAGAAATGATTTAGGCAACGAAATTTAGTAAAGGCAACAGAAAATTAACAAGAACACAAGGCACAATTACAGGAAACTCTTTTCCCAACTTTGTATTTAACTCGAGCATACAAAGAAACTCAAACTCGACGTACAATGCCGTGTGCAAGAAGATCACTCTTGACCCTCAGATTTTCTCACAAGACTACTCTTACCCTTAGGTGTTTTCACTCTTGAAAATACACTCAAACATGCACTCTACACGTTTTTTCTCCTCTCATCCGCCCCAAGCATAAGGATGTTGTCCATTTATAAAACATGAGACAACCCATTTGCCTTACACTTGTCGCACTTTACGCTTGGACACCTGTCCCACACATCCCACTATTTTAACCCCAGTGTAGTTGACATCCCCCTACCTACTAGGATCATGTAAATCATGCTAATAATAATGGGATCATGGCCCCAAAACGTGCTAACACTTCTGCCAGCTTTTTAGCAAAGCCAACTGCTGCCCACGTGCACAACATGTGCCGCGTAATCGCCTTTGACTTGGTCAATTTGAAGCATACTGCCCATTTTCGTGCCTTGGCTTGAATCAGGTGCCAATGCCTTGTACTCAGCTGCATTGTAGCCACATTTTGTCTATGCCATTGCCCACGAACATGGCCTTTTGCCGCGCCCCAATGCCATGACAAGTCTGTCCCGCACACTGTTTTCTGTTGCACTTTAGCCTGCCTTTGTCACTTCGTTTTTGCCTTGCCTTGGCATCACTGCCTCATGCCTTTGCCATGATCAAATGTCACCCTCAGCCCGCAACTCATTGTCAAGCCCTTGCCAAGCTGCCTCGCCTCCGTCAAAGCCTTGGCTATCACTTGCCCGTTTCCCTTTTTGCCTTGGTGCTACTCGTGCACCTTAGCTTGGCAACACTCTTGCTGCCAACACTCTCGTTGTTAAGTCAAGCTCAAAGTGGCAGAGGTCTAACAAACCACCTGAACCCTTTGAAACTCGGCGTCCTCGTCGAGGTTAGCTCAATTTATGAGTCCTAAGGGGTTGACAAGCAACGCCCCTTGGCCCCCTCTCTCTTCAGCCACAATTGCATTGACACCAACAGTTTGTTTGTGGTCATTGCCTCCAATGCAGCCCTCTTGTCCGCGACAGTCATAGCATTTAACACTGCCTTCTTCGGGCAGTCCCTTGCTCGATGTGGCCCATCACAAATGAAACAGCCACTGAATTTGCTGCCCTTCTCCTTGCTCTTTGAAGTTCCAGCCTCTTGCCTTCCCTTCCCCTCATCTTCATTAGCATTGTTATTTTCACATTTCTTCCACTCATTTGCCTTTTCTTTCTTTCCGTCATTAGACTTTGAAGCAGAAGTTTCTTCACCCAAGTGAAAATCGCCCAATGCATCTGCCGCAGCCACAACACTTGCGAGGTTTTGAATATTCTGCCTACGCAACTCCGATTGTGCCCACTATTGTAGCCCGCTCATGAAGTAGTGCAATTTGTCTTCTTCCGACATATTGCTGATGCTCAACATCAAAGAAGTGAATTCTTTGACATATGCTCTAACTGATCCGGTTTGCCTCAACTTTTTCAATTTGTCCGTAGCAATCTAAGACGTATTGCTAAGAAGGAACTGATCCTTCAGTTCCTTTTTAAGCCGCTCTCACGACTCAATCTTTGGTCTGCCCAAACTTTCATCTTCAGCCACACGAGTGCGCCACCACAACTTAGCATCTTAACTTAAATACATGCTAGTCAACATTACTTTCTCCTTCTCGTCTTGCACACGAATAACATGAAAGTACTGCTCCATATCCCGAAGAAAATTCTCCAATTCACGTGCACTCCTTGCACCACCAAATGCCTTAGGTTCAAGAATTTTTACCTTAAGACGATCAGCACCACGTTGAGGAGCATCCTCGCCCACAACGCGTCGCAACACCACTTTCTCAGTTTTTACATCTGCATTCTCTTGACTTAGCCTTGCCAATTCTTCTTCAAGGTAGGCAAGCATTGTCATGAGAGTTTGAATTTCTTCACCTTCGTGAACATTTCCCACTAATGCTCCAGTTTTGTTAGCCTTTCCCGCAGTTCGTTGTTACCACCGGCCATGTTCTTAAACAAGACCACGAAATCTGCCATTTGCCGTCGTGTCTCCTTCACGAACCTGCTCTGCTCTAATACCAGTTGTCACAAGCGCATTTTCAGTCCGCCGAAAACCAGCCTACGCGGCAGCCAAGTCCCACACTTGACTCTAGCCTTCTCACAACACTCAGCCAAAATTACAGCAACTTTGGACTTATATTATTTTTAGGCAGCTTTCAACGTAGTAAGTTTAGGAATGATTCAGGCGACGAAATTTAGTAATTGCAACAGAAAATTAACAAGAACACAAGGCACAATTACAGGAAACTCTTTTCCCAACTTTGTATTTAAGTCGAGCACATAAAGAAACTCAAACACGAAGTACAATGCCGTGTGCAAGAAGATCACTCTTGACCCTCAGATTTTCTCACAAGACTAGCCTTAGGTGTTTTCACTGCACTCTACACGTTTTTTCTCCTCTCATGTGCCACAAGCATGGATGCTGTCCATTTATAAAACATGAGACGACCCCTTTGCCTTACACTTGTCGCACTTTAGGCTTGGACACTTGTCCCACACAGCCCACTATTTTAGCCCTAGTGTAGTTGACATCCCCCAACTACTAGGATCATGTAAATCATGCTAATAATAATGGGATCATGGCCCCAAAACGTGCTAACACTTCTGTCAGCTTTTTAGCAAAGCCAACTGCTGCCCATGTGCACAGCATGTGCCGCGTAACCGCCTTTGACTTGGTCAATCTGAAGCACACTGCCCATTTTCGTGCCTTGGCTTGAATCAGGTGCCAATGCCTTGTACTCAGTCTGCATTATAGCCACATTTTGCCTATGCCATTGCCCACGAACATGGCCCTTTGTTGCGCCCCAATGCCATGACAAGTCTGTCCCGCGCACTGCCTTCCGTTGCACTTTAGCCTGCCTTTGCCACTTCGTTTTTGCCTTGCCTTGGCATCACTGCCTCATGCCTTAATGCCTTTGCCATGATCAAATGTCACCCTCACCCCGCAACTCATTGTCAAGCCCTTGCCAAGCTGCCTCGCCTCCGTCAAAGCCTTGGCTATCACTTGCCCGTTTCCCTTTTTGCCTTGGTGCTACTCGTTCACCTTAGCTTGGCAACACTCTTTGCTGCCCCATGACAACACTCTCGTTGTCAAGTCAAGCTCAAAGTGGCAGAGGTCTAACACATTCCATCTAACCTCCATTGCATGACCGTGGAATGACGTGAGCTCTGAGTTGAGAGAGTGAACTTTGAAATTCCTATAATAACTATATTTCAACTATTTTTATTATATGTCTATAGTTCGAATATGAAACGTTGTATTTTGTTGAACTCGTGAACTCATTGTTGGATCTGCCACTAATTGATGAGAAGCTAAGGGAAAGTAGAAATTTAAGTACAGTCAGACCTCTCTATAAAAACCTAATTTTTCTCAGAACGATTGTTTATGTTATATTTTGCCTCTTTATAACAGCTTTCTGCCTATAACAGTAACAACCATCTTTATGACAGTACGCTCTTTGTAAAATTATCGCTCTATAACAACCATGCAAATATTTCAAAATTATTACTAATAATAATTCTAAATATTATAAGCAAATATTTTATAACTTTAATATACAATTTGTAATAGAAATATATATTATCTTAAGATAGCAGTACGTTCCATAAACATATGCACATCAAATTCTTTACTTATTTAAAGATCTACAAATGATATATCTTGTATTAGAAAAATGCCAAAAGATACTTAAAAGATCTTGAATGATTTAATTGTGTGCCTTAGAGTTTAGATATTTATGCGTTTAGTTAAGAATTTTTTTAATAATGTATTAGGTTTCTCTAGCATGTAATTCTGAAATATTTATATCTTTTGAGATTGTGAATTTAAATAATTTTTTATCTTTTATATATAATATTAAAAAAATAATTTTTGGATAATTTTCTCTATACAGCCAAAATATATCTAAACGTCAATGTTATTATAGGTGTATAATAGCCATTCACAATAAAAATTAAAAAATTTCGAAACAAACGATGCTATTATAGAGAGGTTTGACTGTATTTACTTAAATTGAATAAACACTAGTAAATACTTCACGGTTAATCCCACTTGTATTGCTAGTTTGCTACTTTGAGTAAATTGAAAGACTACATACAATTGAACCCCAGATTAACGAAGGAATGTATGAGTTTACCAGGTGATGGAGCAGGTCCGTCGTCACTTGCAATTGGAGCTCCGATTGGGACGCCAAGATCTAAAAAGGTAAAAAAAAAATACAATTAATTAATTCCAAATTGGATATGATATTTGAATTTTTGGTTCTTGATAAATGGATCTTGGGCCTAGCTCAACCCCAATAACTAGCTTATGAGGTGAGGATTGTCCAAAACCATATAAGGATATCAAGGACCTCAAATCCCACCGATGTGGGACACTCAATAGTTCTCCACATATTCACCCAATAGGTGCATGATTTATTACACTAAGGGATCGGTATGTAGGATGAATTAGAGAAAATAATGCACGCATTAACTTTTGATATTACTAATCCCTCGTTTGGTATACTTTTTCAACATATGTATTACTAATGCAAGTATTAGTTATACAACCTATTTGGTATTATCCTATGTATAGTAATACATAGCAAACCATGGTATTAGCAATACCAAGGCTATTAATGCATGCATTAACATGGTTAAAAGACAAAATTATCCTTAAAGTTCCTTAAAACTAAAGAACATCGAGGGCATTTTTGTAAACTACTAATTTTCTTAAAAATTATGCAAGGCATTTTAATTATTAATAACCACACCAAAAAGCGGATAAGAAATAATCACTACATACCTAGTGCTTGCATTACTAACCCATGCTTACTATCAGTGGCATAACCACCCTATGTCAATGGTGGTCAAAGGCACACCCTTTGGCGAAAAAGTATACTTCGTGTAAAGTTAAATACTATTTTATATAGTTGCATATTATAGTTTGAACACCCTTAGCATAATCGAGTGAGGCAGTTCAGTGGTTCAGGGTGTTCAAAATGACATGTTGTTCATGGGTTCAAAGTTTTGCCCATTTTGTTTGCCAAAATTAAACGGAGGCCACCGTGTGTGATCTATTTGATTCTTTTGCAATCTAAAAAATTTTCAAATAAAATAATGCTTAAAACTTAAAATTTGTATAGAAATAAACAACTGATCTTAAAAGTAATTATTTAACTAAAAGTTATTTTTTAAATAAATTTTATAATTTAAAAGTCAAGCTCTACAAAAATTTGGTACACTATTCATCGATAAAACAAAATTATTGATTTGTTTAAAGTTTGAACACCCTTGACGGAATTCCTAGCTACGCCCACTATTACTAATCCCTACATTACTAATACACCTTATTCAGCAATATTTTTATACACCTACCAAACTGCCCCTAATAACAATTGTATACTTTTCAAGAATTTAAATTTCATTTAACTGTTTAAATTGTAAATCCGATGTGATGTTTTCAATTTCAAAGTAACAATACTTGTATCAAATAGGAGTATTAAATTTATCCAATAAAACAGTGCTCTCTAATTCTCATTGCTTCTGGTTTTATTTTAGTAAATAAGTAGAAGAGTTACCTTTATCCTGGAATACACAATACCATAACTTTGAAAAAGAATACACTGTCCGTCCCCAAAAAGTGGTGAAGTTGGGCGTACAAGTGTTAAGTCGAACATATATCAATCTCTTAAACATTTCAATTAAATATATATTTTCAAACTAGATAAAAAAATTGTAAATCACAATCTTTATTAGAAAAAAAACTATTTGATTCTCGAGCATTAATAACGTCAATAAATAGGACAAAAGAAGTATAGCTAATATAGAACAATTATAGATTATTATGTTATTTAGATCTTATAACGTCTTTATACCCTTTTCACAAATTTGAACTACTGTTTTTTTTAGTGAAATCTGAATTTAGCAATTTACTCAAATTTACCTGTTTTGTTTCAGCACATAAGCCACTAGTGTATGGAGTGAAAGAGAAGTATATTTTTAGTCGTCCCCATGAAATATATATATTTATATATATGTGAATTATATAAATATATTATAAAGTATTTTATATATTTTTTAACTAGCGAATATAATTTGTTTTTGCCGATCCATCAATTTTGTGTTTTGCCCTATCAATAATTGAGCACATGCATGATGGGTTGTAGGTCCAAACTCCAAAGTGGGCTGTGATTTAACATCCTCTTTAACATTCAATGGCTATTTCTAACGAAACTTTAGCTTTTCTTTTTTACTAGTACCATAAATTTTGCTGGGTTTGTTAAAGTTTTGGAATTCAAATTCAATTATAAAAAAGTGTTTTGTTTGAACTAATCTTGAAAAAAGTTATTCCCTTTCTCCAATTTATGCGACACTTTTGCTTTTCGAAATTCAAACTTCTTAATTTTAATATACTTGAACATGAAATCTTTAATATTTTTTGAAATAAAATTTATATAGCATAGTAATTAATAACTTAAAATATTTAAAAGGCATATGAGGGGCTTACGGTTAAAGAATAAATCCTTTGACTTTCGAAATCTGAATACCTTCAGATAAATTGGAACAGAAAACACTTTTGGGCTGTAAGCTTTTAAAGGTAATAGTACTTTTAAGTATAATTTTTTTAAAAATGTTTTTCTATTTTTCAAAAAATGCTCGTGCATCCATGCAAAAATACTTTTTTGTTAAAATTTGGCCAAACAATTCACTTTGGAAAAAAGTATTTTTGGTCAAAGCAGGTTATTAAGGATCTGGATAAAGGAAAGTAGAAGCTAAAAGCAGATCCCAAAATTTTCTAACCCAAATTGGAAGTACGAAACGGAGAGTGGCATAAAGAGAGAGAGAGAGAGAGAGAGAAAAAATGGGTACCTGAGCAAGTGGTAGCAGGTGGAATCTCCAAACCACAAACAGAAGGTAGTTTAAGTGCCTTATCGACATCAATATTGAACCCAATTTTAGCACCAGAGTGAGCTCGCCCAAGCATTTGACACAAGCAAATTGGATTACTATCTAACAACCCAGCAATTTCTGGGCAACATCCTTTATCTGGTTTAGTCAAATTGCTATCTTTTTCTACAAATGTTAAGCAATCAGACATGTTTACTAAGACGCTAAAGCAATTAACTCCGGGACTTGGTGCTGGTGGCGATTTTTGTGCATCCGTCGATGGAATCAGAATGGGGTATAGTGAGATGATGAGAAATGTTGTGGCAATAGTGGTCGTTATTTTGGCCATTCTTGTGGATTTGAGATGAATTTGTTTACTAGTGGGAACTCTAGAGTTGTAAATATAGAGCAATAAGTCTACTGTATTTAAAGTTGATGGCTTGCTTTTGATAGCCCGAAGAGTTTATTTGCCAAAACACCCTAGTAGTAGGTAACTACTTCTTCATGCTTTTATAGTAAGTAGTGTAGTTTTTATAAAGATTTGACACCTTCATTACTAGTATAAATCGTAATCAAGGTGGATTCGGGATTTCAAGAGGAAGAGGATGAGCCAACTATTGTGAAGAGGTGGATATAGAATTTACACTTACGGATTTAACTTTAATCTCTTATAGAACTCATTACACTTTTGAAATTATAAAATTATATTCTTTTTAAATTTTATAGTAATTTTCACATATATATTTATACTCCGTGCCGAAAAAAACCGTTCGGAGTGAGATTTGAACTGCCAATTTCACTTGTAGAGGTGCACCCATTAATAGTTGCATCATAGGAGTCTTTGAGCATAGATGTACGCACATACATTTAAGTAATTTTGAAGAAATCTAACATTGTTGTTATACATGATTTAGGAAAAGGAGTATGGGTTCACGTGAACCCATACCCCTTAACCTAGATACACTTTCATAACGAATGTTCAATTAAATTACTCTCATCTCTCCTTCAAAAGAATAATGACTATATACCTTCTTGTAACATTATGGGTGAAATTAAAAAAGGTGACAAATATTGTGAGCTATGACAGATAAAAAGAATCAGAAGAAGTATTATGTTTAAGTCTAGTGTTCGATCTGATCTCGAAGCTTGTATGAAAACCATCTTTAATTTGGAACTTCTTAAAATGACACTGTATAGCCGCTGTAAAAATAATAGTCGGAAAAATATATATATATATATATATATATATATATATATACCAAAATTATACAAGTTTTATACAATTTTTCAACTACCAAATATAAATAGTTTCTGACGCGGGCTAAAAGTAAAAATACCTCTTAGAACTTCGTTGATGTAAAAGTTTTAGTTAGCAAAGCGAACATCAGATTCACTCAATTCACTTAGAAAATATTTGTGTTGATTTTATAAATGTGTTCGCCAGTTATATGTTATTTGATAATAGAAGAAATATTTCACTCAGTTTACTGGGGAACACTGTGGTGACTTTATAGATTTGTTCATCAGTTATACTGTTCTCTGCTGTCTCCCTCATCTGTCTTTCTCCTCTCTTTCTTCTTCTTCTTCATCCCTTTTCTTCCTTTCCACCTTCTCTTGAGCCGAGGGTCTATCGGAAACAACCTCTCTCTCCAAATATGAGTAAGGTCTGCGTACACATTACTCTCCCCAGACCCCACTTGTGAGATTATATTGGGTATGTTATTGTTGTTATTATACTGTTCTCTGCTATGGGACATGAAATGTGTATTGCCCAATATGTCAATCACAGTTTGAATAAAACGGATTGCTGCTTTTTTGCTAGCTGTAAATCATGCATAATTTTAGGAACAAAAAGCACATGCTTAAGAAGGAAAAAAAAAGAATAAAAGCAAAAAACACACACACACACACAAAAAAAAAAAAAAAGAAGAAGAGAAAACACAAGGGACCTGGTGTGGGGGTTTGGGGTGGGGAGGGAAGGGGGGGAGGGGAGGAGGGGGCAAGGAAGACAAAATGTGAAAGCATTATGTAGGGTAGATGAAAAAGCATTATTTCTAAAAGTTCAACAACAACAAACTTAGTGTAAATCCGCTAGTGGGATCTAGGAAGGATATTGGGTACGTAAACCTTATATTTACCTTGAGAAGATAGAAAGGTTGTTTCTAATAGACCCCGGACTCAAGGAAAAAAAAAAAAAGCAGCAGACAGTAGCAAGACACCCAGAAAACCAACACGAAAGAAACATCAGGATTTATTTCTAGAAGTTCCTTTTGAAAAAATTAATGCTCCTTCTGACAAGTCTTCTTGGAAGAAATTATTACTATAATTGAATTTCTCCATCAAAGAGGAAATTAAAGTACGTAGGTGTTGGTATGAAAAATGATCTCACTTACTAATAGGAGTACCAAGAAAGCAGCTACTAACCTATTGTTGGTCCATTCTGGAACATGGATAAAATTGGAACGATACATAATACTATTATTTAGCTCCTGCACAAGAATGATACACACTCAAATGCAGACTTGTTGCTACCGGTGAAGGACATAGAGACTAATAAAATACCTAAAAATAACAAACCTAAACACAACTTTCTAAGGGCTCCAATCTGCAATTACATTCCTTGAAGCACAGATAGAACTATACGAGGACCATTCCCTTCTTCCCCTCCATCCTATCTCCTTTCTTTTTCTCATTTTTTTGGTAACTGAGAAATTTCTCTATAAGTTAGCTGGCCAAACTACAACTGGCACACATGTCAAAAGCTCGGGGAATATGGTTCTGCCCCTCTATTTCCTAATTCAATACCAAGCTTTAGTCAACGGCAAGGACCAAACTAGTAGATGCGCGCTACCAACACATCCTTCCAATATCATCCAAAGAAGTAAAAGAAAACTCAAGAAAGAAAAGAAAATATGTTATTGGTCTCCCATCAGCTGAATTTCTTACCTTCTGCAAGAAATGCAGCTTGCATGAATAAAAGGTTCCAAATCCAAATCACTTACTTCGAAATTTGGATATCATCAACTGCAATTGCTATTGGTTATCAGGAAAAGAGTAATAGTAGCATGATTTCAAAGTGAAGCTGCCCCTGGTGTTAATATCCTTACAGATACAAGTCCCACACAAACCGTATACAAGAAATTAATCTTCTGACGTATATTTCTAAGTAGAAAGGATCAGCAGTACATTTACAAGAAATTAATCTTCTGACGTATATTTCTAAGTAGAAAGGATCAGCAGTACATATCTGCAATAAAGCTAATACAGGCTCAAAGCCAGTTTAATATTGTCCATGATGTTCCTATGCTGGTGGAAGGTGGAAGCTATTCGGTGAAATAGTCAAATGTGCACATGTTGGCCCGCACATCACCATATTAATCGACCATGACATTGTAACTGGTGACTGTATTTGGAAGAAGAGTGTTTCAACCGGGAACTGGTAAACACTTTTCCAAGCAGCTGGGCACAAACAGCGCTATCAAAAGCGAAAAGCGCAAAAAAGGTCTAAGGTCTGTTGAGGCTTTATGCGCAAATAAAGCGAAGAAAAACTACAAATATGTATGTATAGCCCACAAAGCTAGGTGAAGCGCTCAACATGTTTTGAGACTCGCTTCAAGGCTTAAGCGCGCCTTTGATAACACTGAGCATAAGTACCACCATGACAACTACTCTTAAGTAAATCTGCATCTGAATGGAACGGAAGCCTAATCCCATTTTATGGGTTAATTTTGTCAGGATTAAAGAATGTGTACCTTAGTAAATTTTAAGATTGTGCCTTGTTATCAGAAAGTGGCTACTTTGGGAAGGGTGAAACATAGAGGACAAAGTTCAATATTCCAACATGTAATCTCTGTGCTGGTTGCATGATTAGTCCAAAGTAAAAACATTTCAGCATAACTTAATCAAATATTCAACACCAGTAACTGAATGTTTTGTCGATTGGAAGAAGTTAGACAAATCAAAAGAATATTCAAGGCATGCGGAACCAATGCTGAAGTTGATAAAATGAATAACTTCACACGGAGCTCGAAAATTCAATAATATAAAAGCAATGAGACCTAGTAACTCTTGGATATATTTCGAGTAGAATAGGTTTCAGCAGACTGTAAGATATGGGTATACCCCTTTCTTGGCCAGTCTTGATCAGACTTGAAAATTCACAGCAACAAATAACTGTGCTCAATCAAGGGGATAATCACAAAACAGCCTCTCTGCCTTGGATCATCAAATCAGAACTAGTCTCTAAGAAATCATTGTATGTTAAAAGCAACACTAGGTTCTGAATCCACGATAAATTCCTGAAACCGCTCTGGCATTTTCATGTAAAATTAGGCAAGGTATTACTCCATTTAGTTTCTCACTATGCCAGCACAAATTTGAAAATAAGGATTTCATAGCCAACATCAGCAAATTAAGAGAAACAATGTTACATCCTAAAGTGATCAGAGACTAAAAGTAGACAAGCCCTTGTAGTGCCAGAAGAAACAGATCAAATAAGAGAAATACGCGAAAAGTTGTAAAGGATACAGATTGTACCTTCACTTCAAATGCCAGTATAAATGAGAGGTGAAATTATGGAACCCTTAAACCAATAATATGCCTTTTCATACATATATGACTAGCTATTAGCAAAATAGAGTTATCCTAGGATCAATGACAAACTGCCATCACTTCTAGGCCTTCACTTTCCAAGTCATCCTACGCCTGTTGTGCCAGCTGTTCCTATCACCATCAATTTGGTTCTTCTTTGCTGCAAATGAGCACTGATCGCCACGCCTACCTTTACCATTCATTTCCAGTTGATGCTTACGCCTTCTCACTCTGTTCTCTAACCTTAAACCTCTTAGTGCTTGGACCCGCTGCTCGATCTCTAAAGCTTGAGAGAAGTTCCAGATCCTGACAACACCTTCTTCACCAGCACACACAATACGGTTAGATCCAACATCCACAGCAAATAAATTGCTCCCAAAGCCATGCAGCATTCTTTGTGGTGGTTCAACATTGTCAACCAGATTGTCAGCTTTAGAAGAGTTACTCAGTGTGGAATTCCGGTTTGTTCTCAACAGCTTTCTCACATCAATAAGTGAAAGTTTTCCATCACTCGAAGCTGAAACAAGCCAAGGGAACTCAAATGCAAGAGAATTAACAGCACTTGAGTGAGGAATCCAAGTTGCAACACGCCTGACATGACACCTAGAATTTCCAAAGATCTCAAACATGTGTATCGCTCCATCTTCCCCACCAGTGAACAAAAGTTTCCCGGTGTGGCTCCGCGCCAGAGAGTAAGTGTACCCAGAATGGGCATTCTTGACGATAGCAAGTTTTGAACCACTATTAATGTCCCAAACATAAAGATCCGAGCCTGCTGTGCTCACCAGTGTTGCATCATGGGGACCAAGGCTCCAAACCCAGTCATTGTGTATCAAAACTTTCAAACACTCCAAAGAAGATCGATTCCAAACACGAATACTCGTGTCCCATGAACCACTATACATCCTATTGAAATCCAACGCAAGGCATGTTATCGGTCCATCATGTTCCCAAACTCGGAATTCCATATTCTGGTTCTGAGGAGCTCCAAGATCAAATAAATGTGGATTTTCGTCATTCGCTCTCCAACCATGAAT